AAATCAACCAACATATCCTTGGGTGAGGATTTAAAAACATTGAGGCTCCACATTATTCTCTTAGTGGTCTCTACATCGTAACACTTGCCAGTTTGCAGTTTTGCATTGTTACGGGGGTGTCCCTCAGAGAGGACATGCTGAAGTCCTAACCCCCAGCACCTCCGAATGTGCCCTTATTTCTAAAACAGGGTCTTTGCAGAGGTGGTCCAATTAAAATGAGGGCCTCAGGGTGGGCCCTCATCCATTATGACTGGTGTCCTGTGCACAGAGCAAATTTGGACACAGGGACAGACACTCAACAGGAAGAAGATGTGAACATGCAGAGGAAGGAGCTGGCCCCGTGTCCGGGGTGACTCCTCCATCCAAGGGACACCAGGGACTGCCAGCCAACACCAGAGGCCGGGAGAGGCGAGGGGGGCCTCTCCCTTACAGCCCCCACAGAGAAGGTGCTGCTGCCGACACTCTGACCTCAGACGTCCCCCCTCCGGGACTGTGAGACAGGACATTTCTGTTGTTTAAGCCCCCTGGGTTTGGGCACTTGACAATGGCCGCCCTAGAGATGAATGGTGCGGCCACTGAGACGTATTTATTATTTATGGACAAGGCTGGTGTTTTCATGGCACTGTGAGCTCATTTACTGATACTGTTCTCACTGCCCAGGTGGCCGTGTCTGACCCCTATCAGTGGCCGGGTACGTGGATTAGCACATGAATGGATGCATGAATGGGGACTTTCCATGCAAAGAGGCCAAAATGATTTTGCAATCTCAGAAGGTTCAAATGTACCACTTAAAAGTGATAATTTAATCTTAAAATCAGTAATCATAATACTTCAACTAGAAAGAGAACATCTTTTGTGCATAATTACCAGATGCCTCATTTAACCAGCTCTGATGAGCTCTTTGAATTGCACGTTCCGGGAGGACTCCCCCCAAAATGAGGAAGCATTGTTCTTCTGATCTTACCCAAAAATTACCCTGTTATGTTTTAGAATAAAAAATACAAACAATCTCTTCAATCTCCACGGCCTACATTAAGAGAAGTATAAGCAGGAGCTGCGGAAGCTCAGTTTTGACCTGGAACGTATGTAATGAGAGTCCCGAGAGGTCAAGGTTGCATGTTCCACGCCCAGTCAGGGCACATACAAGATTCAGCCGACGAATGGGTCAGTAAGTGGAACAACAAATTGATGCATAGTTTTTTTTTCTCCAAAAAAATCAGTAAATAATGAAAAAAAAGCAGTTACACTTGCTGAGGCTGGCGAGTGCACACACACAACTGTCCTGTTTGAAAGGATCTTGTTGCTCAGTAACCTGATGACGAGGAACAATGATGCATCGTCAAACCCTGCGGAGCTGTGATACACCAAAAGGAGGCGGGACTGTAAGAAGCAGTGTGCTTGCCGCTGGCTTCCTGTGTTGGGGACCACTCTGCCTGGTTTCAGGAACTGTAATTGCCCCCCATGGCCAAGGATGAGAGAGCGACCTCTGGAATGGGAGCCACAGGAGACAAGGCTTGGTAGCAAACGCTGCCTCAGCTTCCTCCCCTGCCCCCAAAGCTTGGTGGGTTAGTCCATGACAGGTAAGACCCCTCAGAAAGGGGGCAACCTAAGCCAGACACAATCACTTGGGAGGCCATCATGGAAGGACTCGGGGGGCTGCAACAAAGAGGGAGTGATGGACCCTTGCCCCCCAGCTATGTGACATAGCCCAAGTCCCCACGTTCTCTGGGAGAAGCTCTTCCTGGCTCTGATCCACTTAAGCCTGAAAACCTGATGTGGAGGGGTGCAGCTCCTTGCCTTGCTAGAGAGGATCTGGGAAAATCTGGCATAAGAAAGACTTCCTAAAAAATCCTGTGAAACCTGCTTTGCTAAGAGTATTTTCATTCATATGATAAGGGTCCAAGAGGAAATGAGTATGTCTCCTAAAGTTTCTACAGCCCCCTTACCTGACAGACACTGACTCAGACTAAGCCCTCAGATTTCTTTGAAATATCATCTACTGTTTGACCCTTGCCGCCCTGTATTCCTGTGTATTACAACCCAATAAAAGCCCCCAGAGTAAGGGGCTCCTGGCCTTTTTCCTCTGAGAAACTGGCCACCTCTCCTCCCCAAGCAGATCATGTCTTGGTAGTGTTACTTTCATCGGTGGCAGATGGGGGGACTTGCGGGCAAAGTCGCCCCCACATTCCTGCTCCAGCGATTTCTCATTCACAGGGTCTTTCCAAGAATCACCACACACTACATGTGCACACACACACACCCGTGTACATAAATAGGAACTCACATATGTGTCCATGTCTATTTATAGTCGCACATACGCATTCTACGTGGAAACTTTTTTAAATACACCTTTGTTAACGATGACCATTAGTCTGCTTTATCTCAGCTTGAACTCATAGGTGGGCACTGGGGTGTGGGCGGGGAGGGGTACAAGGGGAAAAGCCGATGCAGAATGTAATACTTTTTGGAGGGGGAGTCAGAGAGAACAGCCTAAGTCAGCTGTGTATAATGTATTCTCACACTTTCCAGCAACGTACATCTGGCAGATTAATTCCCCCTTTCCACAGATGGGAAATCGGGGCTCAGAACTTCAAATGCTAAACTGCCTTTATGTCCTTTTTACAGTACGCTCAGAACTTAATTCTACCTCAATGACTCCGCCCGTCTATCCAGAGCTGTTATTAAACACCCGGGACCATTATCTCCACGTTTGTGAGCAGGATATCAGAATCCTGCTGCCGGAAAGACTCTGCATCCAGGCAGCTCCCATTTCTCTCTGAAAGCAGCCTGTCGCCCTGCACCTGGTTTTTAAAAAGCGAGACATCAGGACCTTCTCCCTGATCAGTTGACTGCTCCTCTAGGGGGAAAGGAATGGGACAGAACGGGATCTGTGTTTTGGGAAGGCACGTGTTGAACAAAAGGTGCACATCATCTTGAGGGCTGCTCTTTCTTCTAAGTAAAAGCAAGTGGATTACTTTGTTGTGGTCACAACAGAACAGATTTCGATGCTGAGGTGCCCGGTAATCATATTTTGTGTTACTGACAAGGCCATCGCAGCCCACGTCACAACCGGTTCAGGAGACCCAGGCCGGGCGCTGCAGGGACCTGTCCCCGTACTGCAAGGATCACAGGTGGTCTCCCCAGCAGACAGCACTGGGACAGGTGGGTGTCCACACACAAAGGGATGAAAGCCCACCCTTCTCTCACATCCTGCATCACTAACCCCACGTGGGTCCAAGTCCCGAACCTGAACATGGAGGCTCTGAGGAGAAAGCACTGGGTACATCTGAATAACCTTGCACTTGGCGGTGGACTGCTAGACACGATGCCAAAGGCGTAGGCAACGAGGGAAACACTAAATACACTGAACTTTGTCAAAATTAAAAACGTCTGTGTGTCAAAGCACACTATCCGGAAACTGAAAAGAACTACTTGCAAATAATAATCGGATAAGGGATTCAGATCTAGAATATATGAATAACTTACAACTCAATAATAAAAAGACACAGCTCTAAAAATGGACAAAAGATCTGCCATTTCTCCAGAGAGTGCACAGAACGGCCAACAAGCACGTGAAAAGATAGAACAGGAAGTGCAATTCGAACAGCAGCAAGACACCCGCCCGCCACTAAGCTATTGATGACAAAAGAGCAGAAAACAGCAGGTGTGACTGGGTGGGTGGGGGGGTCAGAGCCTCTCACAGGCTGGTGGGAATGGAGAATGGTGCGGCCCCCTCAGAAACACTCATGGCTCCGGAAACTGGGGGACCGTGGTACGACCCCCTAATTTTACTCCTAGAGTATTCGCAAATGCTGCAACATGAATGAACCTTGAAAATGTCATGTTAAGGAAGCTGGTGACAAAGGTCACATATTATATGATACCATTAATATGAAATACCTAGAATAGGTCAATCTAGCTGAGCAAATAGACAGAAAAAGCAAAGTCGTGACTCCTTCGGTTGAAGAAGTGGGGGCAGGGTGGGGAGCGACAGCCAAAAGGTAGGTGATGAAAAATTCCACACTGACGGCTTGTAGAGTTTGAACTGCCTCCCGGGGCCGCACAAGGGCGCCCTCTGGCTGTCCTAGCAGTTGCCCCATGTGGGCAGGAGGGAAGGGGGAGGCGAGGCTTCCAGCTGCCAGCAGACACAGAAAAGGAAGCCAGAGTCGGAACAATCTGACCATCCCACAGGCCGGTGTTGAAGGAAAGGGCTGAGGTTTGTATTTGCAGATGTGCTCACATCTCTTGTTTCAGTTAGGATTCTTCACACGTCGGGGTTTTTGTGTGTGTGGCACTCACTTTAGGGCCACTACCCGAAAGATAAAGTCCGCATGTGCAATGTAACGTGCGGGACCCAACGCCTCCGACTCCACTCACCGTCGGGAACGTATCTATTTCCCAAACTCAGCGAACATTCCATTACTATCACGTACTCGGTGTTCAAACACAACCCTACAAGGAACAGGACATCACTGTGCACGATCACAAGAACTAGGACTCGCGTCTGCAGGGCGGAGGCGTGTGTTGGGTCTTTCTCATCACTGTGGGTCCAAAGCCTGGGACCGAGCCTCACCAACAGTAGGCACGTTTACTTAGTTTAGTAAATAAATGGAAGAAGGAATCTGATAAGCGCCGTGTGCATTAAGAAGAAGAGCTAGATGGGAGCAGTGGAGACGATGTACACAAACACCCAAACAATTTTACTAGAGGGACATGATGGTGTAACGGTGACTGATAACGGAAATAATCATTGAAGTCCAGTTTGGCACCTTTTTTAAATGGTGGAAAACAAGTACTGAACTTTTAACGAACCAACTTTTGAGCCGTTATCAGTAATGTTTAATGATATTAAACCATTTTTATGTCTATTTCCTAATATCACAGTGAATCATAGTCCAAGAAAACGATGACAAAATGAAGGTGAGGCGTCACATCTGAAACCGCTCCCGAGGCCTGAGCTCGCTGTAGAAAAAGAACACGCCACAGCCCGCCCTTTCATACGAAACTTTTTATTAAAATCGAGTCTTTATAATTTATTTAAAGTGACATGTCCCACAGACAATTACGCAAGAAAGAAATTTCTATAGTTCATTATTGGCATACAAACTGGAGAACATAATTAAAACTAAAGTCCAATATTTATACATATACATATATGCATATATAGATATATAGATATATAGATATCCCAATTTGTATCAGTGATCTGGAATACCTGAGCTTCAACCTGTTGGTTTTCCAGATAGCATGAAACATCTTGTGCCCACTCTGTCAAGGACACGACCCACCCGGAAACAATGACTGTGGCTAATCCGTGCTCCCACCCAAAGGTCACGGAAGTTTCCACGGGGTCAAGGATTCTCTTCGCAGGGCTCTTTGGAGGAGAGGTCGCTCTGCGATGCGAGAAAGGTCTCCCACGTGGCGAGGCACTGAGTAAGGAGAACACACAGCACAAGCGGATAAGCAGCAGTTCACGGTCAGTGTCAAAGGATGGAAGCCCTCCCCGATCTGGCCTACAGCAACCTGACACCAGCTTGCCAGATGCCTGTCATTTTCTACATGTTTTCATTCTTAATGAGGGGAACCAGTGCTCAGTTAGGGGGAAGCCTGTACAAGGGGGAAATATTAGCCTGGATTCGTTGGCTGAAATGAGGCACTGTCACCCCGCTGTCCAAGGTACACAGGAAGGGGTAGACCTCTGGGGTCACAGGGAGCAGGCGCGAGGTGTGGGGCAGAAAGGTGGAGACTCGGGTACACCGTAATCGGACCCGAACCCCACGACAGCCAGGGTGAGTGTGCACCCGTCGACCATCTCTATTAGATTTCTGCAGCGATAGCTCGGGTTAATGACAGTGTGTGCTAATCACAGAAGCAATGGTGAGGCAAAGTTAAATTTACGTCATCTCTATAAATCTCTAGGCAGCATGAACGCCTAGCACAAACCAAGTGCTCAAAAAATGATCAATGATGGAATGCTGGTGCCCAGGCTTGGTCGTTAACGGGCCACAGGGAGTGAAAGAGGGCGGGGAGAGACGGGGATGATGAAGGCACGCACACAGTGATGTGGCCCACCCGCCGCTCTGCCCAGGGCTTGTCTTTGCCCTGTGGCCTGGTCTCGGTCGTCTGTGTGAAGTTTCTCCACCGAACGATCTGAACAGTTTGTGTTTTACACACAGACAGAGAAAGACGAGGGGGACCGCGCTTCTCGTCCAAAATAAGGTGGGACAAAAGTACAGCAACATTTTCAAAGCGGTGGAGGAAAGAACACTGTCAACTAGCATCTCCCTCAAAGACAAAGGGAGAAGAAAGACTCCCGGACTTTCCAAAGCTACAGAATTTATCACCAACAGGCCAATTTTTTAAAAAGTCTGTAAGGTGGAGAAGAAATGAGCAGATTAAAAGAAGGATCTGTGCAAACGAATGAAGAGCCCTGGATACAGTGACTGCATGTTGCAGACGTAACATTTTAGTACTTAAATATTTAATATATAGTTGACTACCTAATTAATAATAGTAATGAGATCTTGTGAGAATTATAATAGATATGAATGAAATGTATGACAAAAAGTGCATAAAGGGGAAAGAAATGGAAGACTATAATTTCGGGTACGGAAGTGACAGGCGGCTACGGTATCACTTGAAGGCAGAGAAGACATACCCGCTAAGTCTGAAGGTAGCCACTAAAAGACGAAACGAAGAGTTATACCTAACAGACCGACAAAAGAGCTAAAATGACATTATGCAAAACTGTCTATTAATCCAAAAGAAGGCACAACCAGGAAAATGGGAGCGAAGAACAGAAGGAACAAATAAAAAATAAACAGCAAAATAACAGATTGTGCAAAAAGTCTCAGTGAATTTAAAAACAGTCAAATCATATGAAGTTTATTCTCTGAACATAATAGAATTAAGTTAGGAGCCAGTAGTAGAAAGATATCTGGCAAATCCCCAAATAGTTGAACTATAAACAGGACACCTATAAATAACCCCCTGTATCAAAGAAGAAATTAAAAGGGAATTTAGAAGTATTTTGAACTGAATAAAAATGAAAACACAACATACGGAAATTCGGGGATGGCAGCAACGCAGGACACGGACAGACTTACAGCACTAAATGCCTACCCTGGAAGAGAAGAGAGGTCTTAAATAAATGATTTAAATTTCTACCTTAAAAACTCCAAAAAGAACAAATTAAACCCAAAGTAAGCAGGAAAACCAACCAACCAACCAACCAGAAAAGATCAGAGTGGGGATCAATACAACATAAATGACAATAACACAGACTACCGAAACTCACTCTGGAAAAGCAGATGATCCAAGTGAATTTGCATATGGTGTTAAATACTTCACATGCACACACACACACATGCAACTCCATCAAACATTTAAGGAAGAATTCGTATTAATTCTACACAATTCCTTCCAGAAAAAGTGAAGGCACAGAAATGCTTCCAACGTACCCAAACCAAAGCTAGTACAAGAAAACTACAAACCACTACTCCTCATAAACGTGGATGCAAAAATCTAAACCAAATGTCAGCGAGTCAAATTCATGACCCAATGGGCCGATCAAATTGTGCACTTGGATAGAAACAGATTCCCTGCCCGCCTCTTGGAAACTCTCTGCTTCCACGAGCACCAGGGCCATTTGAAGATGCTGGAGTTTCTCCACGCCGGGCACACAGTCAGTACTCAGTTAACACACATGACTACGAAGAAGGGTGCACTGGCCACCGAAAAACCTGCATTTTCAACCCAACCGTTAATCCGTCAACACGCTGGCTTGCATGACTGTCTAACTTTGTTTTCCCAGAAAGCCTGTCCCCGACTCGGGGTGCTGATGAATGAATGGGGTTGCCAGGCCCTCAAAGCTGATGGTCTGACCTGACGGTGCAGCTGCTGATACTTCCAGGACTGTTTGGGAATCTGGCAGCAATTTTTTTACTCAATAAATGGGAACTGCCACCTCCTGCCAGTGTTGAATATTAAGCCGTTACACATTTACCCAGTTAATACACATCCATCTATTTCAAATAATAAAAGACAATATCTAAGGCACGTGTCAATCTTTTCACATGCCTGCCTTTTTTGAGCATGACAAAGCTAAGTAAAAACTTAAGAAATGGATCGTTTACACAACATAGGGAAACAATTTAGTTCAGTTCAGGACACTGATAATTGGAGGATAAAAAGAATCACCAAAACAACAACAAAAATCCAAAAACCCAGGGTGAGATTTGTTTACCACCGCAAATTACATTTTTAAACAGCGATTATGCTTCTCATTGTTTTCTATCAAGGACTTGGTTTTTTCCCACTTTTAAATCTTCACAATTGGTGAAGTGAGCGAAAATCTACCAAAGTTAGCGTAGCGCCCCGAGGTACTTGTACGACCATTGCAGAAGCAGCCCCAGGAAACCCACTTCTAGTGACGTCCACACTCGTCTGTTTGCTGCGATGCCAGATAAAATCGAGGACCAGCATCTTAACACCCAGACAACTGGGACCCGTAGACGCCAGTGGCCTCCACAGGGTCCTGTGTCCCACGGACACACCGCGGGCCAGCGCATGTCCTGTCCACACTGCCAGGCACGTTTATCACAAGTCCCCCTTCGCTGGGAACCCAGCACTTCTTCCCCAGGGGACGGAGCCAAGGGCCCCAAACTGCAACTTCTTTTTGCAGGTGGAGCCCAGGAGCCACGCTGAGCCCGAGCTGGGGAGAGACCCCGCAGGTGAACAAAAGCCCCTTGTCCCCACACACCTGCTTGGAAGCCCCTCAAAGACACAGACCTCAGGCAAACCTCTGCCCCTCTCTGGGCCTGTCTATGTGCTCCCAGGCGCAGGGGCTGGGGCCCCAGGCGCCCATTACCTGTCCTTCTAGAACCAGAGGGGCAGGTTCCCAGGGACTGACTGACATCACCTATGATTCACAAATACGCCTTGCTCGGGGGGGCGTGACCTAGTGTGAATGCATCAAATGCAAAATTTCACCCCCCCCTCCGTCTTCGATACCTGTGAGATAATTACCATTTCCAAGAATTTCCAGTGATTCATACACAAATAAGACATATTCTCAGTTACTGTGGTTGCTACCAGTAGGTCTACATTCACCGAAACCTTATCAAGAGCTGGGCATGAGTTGAGGACCACATGTATTTTATCCACTGAGCAGCTGGGACTCGCTGGGTTGGCCAGAAAGCTCATTTATTTTCCCTGCAAGATGGCTCTGGTAGTGCTTAGTTGTCTTTAAGTTCATTGGAAAGAATTTTGTTAGACTGTATGGTGACAGCTGTCATATCAGCTTGCATTTAAAAATTCTTAATCAAAATTGGTGAATTTTTGTGTAGCCATTTTAATATCAAAGATGGATGAAGATAAGCAACAACTCAATGTAGTATGCTTTATTATTTCAAGACAGGTTAAAACACAACTAAAATGCAAAAAATGATGTGTGCAGTGTAGGGAGAAGGTGCTGTGACTGATGGAACGTGTCCGAGGTGGTTTGCGAAGTTCCGTGCTGGAGATTTCTCGCTGGACGATGCTCCATAGTCGGGGAGACCAGCTGAAGTTGATAATGATCAAATTCAGACATTTATTGAGAACAATCAACGTTATACTACATAGGACACAGCCAACACACTGAAAATATCCAAATCAATAAAGTTACCAATGACAATGAAAAGTGTGTCATTTATTTTATGGAAAAAACTAAAGGGACTTTTTGGCCAACCCAATACCTCCCATGTTGGCGGTTTCACGCTCAAGGGGAAGAAGTCCCGACTTAGAGGATAAGCTGGCTGAGACTCCAGGAAAGTATTTCCGGGTGTGAAAGAATCAAAACCAGTCATGTTTGTGACTCACTAGGAGAACTGAAATTTGCTTCTAGGCCTTTTCTTCCAGCTTTCTTCACGCTATTCTGTACACATACACCTAAGTACATCTTCATACCCAAACACATCCATGGTGTGGGCACCATGATTTTTAGCGCCTTAGAGAAGAGGACACTGGAATAAGAAGTCTTCAAGGTCTCTCAGCTCAAGGTCACAGACTACCTGTCCGAAGCCCACGCTCTCAGCCACCTCGCGGTAACACCAACATACAGTGTAACACCCCCATGGGTGAGGCTGCAGCCCGCTCACGAAACAGCCACCAGAAAACCTGGTTCTGTCTGAACAGACTCACAGACACAGAGAAGAGACTGGCAGTCACCAGAGGGGCGGGTCCTGGGGGGCTGGGCAGAAAAGGGGATGGGGTTATGAAATACAGGTGGGTAGGTACAGAACAGTGACGGGGATGTAAAGTACGGCTTAGGGACTATCATCAATACTATTTTCCTAACTTTGTACATGCCAGGTGGGGACTGGAAATATGGGAGGAATCACTTTGTACAGTACGTGACTAACTACTGTACTGCATACCTGAAACTACT